GGCGGTAGACGACGGCGGCGTCCCAGCGGGCCGGGAGGGCGACGCTCTCGCGGATGAGCGAGGCCCGCTCGCGGGCCAGGCGCGCGGCCAGACACGGGCTTGCTACTCCAGTGTCACTAATTTCATCTGCAGAAGGAGCGAGTGCACAGCAGCAAATATCACTGACTTCAAGTTGAAGACAAATAATGTAGGCCATAAGGGCCTTTATAGTCATTCCCACCTCCACCCCTCACTCTGTAGGAGTGATTCACTCCTACAAAGTGAGTCGACTTCGTTGTCTATCAAATTAAATGTCCCACCACTAATATTCGCTCCATTTCACGTCCCGGCTCGCAGCACAGTTCTGGGAATTCGAAGGGGCCCAACCGCCGGACGTGTGTAACGCCCCTCCCGCACAATCTCTATCAGCATATCCCTCTTCACTGACGTAGACCCTCCTTTTCGCCCCATGGTTTCCAAATAAACTTGTTTCCCACTTTCGTACCATTCCCCACATTTCCTTATCATACGGCGCTCTTCCCTCAACTCCCCACGACTCCTGGGAACCCGAAAGCGAGCCTTGTCACTGTTCTCGAGACAGAAATTGTGCAATTTCATTGCAATTGCTACAATTTCAGCGGAGTCTTTGACTGAATATTCCAACATCTTCAGAATCCTAAACTTCTTAATTAGCATGCCGAAAGATTGCTCGACGTGCATTCTCAAGGACGAATGATAAAAATTGAAGGCGTCCTCGACATCGCTAGCCATCGACGCCGGAACTGGTGTTATCAAATATTCACTACAGTTATACGCCTCATCTCCTGCAATCCAATACTCCAACTCCAATCGACCATCCTCCAGATATCGTCCTAATGACGATACAGCGTGTGCAAGTGCGTCGTGCGTAGAACCGCGGCAAAGGGCTGAAAAACAAATAAAACGGTAGTCAGAGTTCACAAGCGCTTGAATGGGGAGCGCATAAAATCCTTTTCGGCAGTAGAAAGTCGTGGGATGCTCGTCGTTTGACGGCTTTTTGATTCGGACAGAAATACCGTCGAGAGCTCCCACACAGCCGGGAAGCGGGCCCGGAGGGTTTCTAGAGCGCTGGAAGTCGTCGGCAAGGTGCCGTAGTCCGTCGATAGAATCAGGGAGGCCTGGAAGGTCCAGTGCATTGTTCAGAACCTGGCGTGTCTCCTTAAATACTTGATAGACAGTGCTTCTTCCAACCTCGAAAGCAGCCATACAGCCATAAACTGTCTCCCCCCCATGATACGTAAAAAAATTCCTAGTCTTGCCTCTGGACTCACAATTTGCCTACCGGCTCTGGCTGCCATTTCCTTGTTCTTATCAAGGCGGTGACGTACTAAAAATAGGAGGCGGTTAAAAGTCTTTCGCTCCATACGGTATGTACGACTGAATTCTTTGTCGTTAAAAATCCTGTTGGCTCTGACAAAGGTCCATCCCCGTCGGAGATCTAAGGGCTTTGTGAATTTTCGGGGTCGAGGATAGTTTGAAATAGCTTGGTGCAACGAAAGGAGGGAGAATAGAGCTGCGGTTGCGGTTAGTGCGGTCGTAGCAGTGATGATTCTATTGCCGTGCATTGCGTAGGAGGGATTAGATTGAGAAGAAAGGAGGGGAGGCGCACGGCGATACTGGGCAGTGGTTTTCGATCCGTTTTTTGACCACACAGCGCCGGCGATAGATACGCTATCCCGCGGAGTAAGGAGAGAAGTAGGGGTGAGATCAATTATTTATCCCGGTGATCCGGGATCACCCGCAATAGCCACGTTCTGGGTCGGAAGCGAGCCACGCTGCAGCCTCTCGCGTCCATGTCGACGCGTCCCTGGGGCGAAGTTGTTTGACGCTGCAGCATGTCACGTCCCTGTCGATGCGTCCTCGGAGCGAATTTGTAGAACCCACAGTGTCCTCCCCGTTGTGTTCTGGCAATTTATAGCGCTGTATGCCTCTGTAACTCAGCACCGTCGCTCTGGGACACCTGTCCACTACTAACGTAAGTGAAAGGACACCTGTCCACTACTAACGTAAGGGGAAGGCGTGTACTTACATTAATAAATTAATAAATGACCGGCAAACTCGGGCAAGCAAAGCAAACTCGGGCAAGTTAAGACCCTCCCTCAGTGTGAGAGTTTTGATTTCAAGGTTGACGTTTGAGAGTTTTGAGATGCGTCTCACAAAACCATCACAAAAGATTCACGAAAATGTGTGATGTTTGAGACGATTTTTGTGATGACCACAAAACGTTCTCAAAAAGTGCTACATTTCAACAAATATTCACAAACCATGTGTGACGAATGAGAAGATGGAGTGAGACGAATGAGATGACGGCGGCGAAAAGAGCAAAACTCTTACAAATCGTCACACAAATCGTCTCACTTTTTGTGACGCCCTAAATCGTCACAAACCGGAGCACAGGGCTAACAAACTTCAGTAAAATATGACATTTTGCTGCAAAACCCTGATCTCCGGTCTCCTCACGGCTCTGAACGTCCTGCCGCTCTAGCGCTTCTAGCTAGCATTTCTCAGCTTCTTATAACCCACTGCAAACACACCAGCGATACGCAGTACAGATTTCAACTGGGATCATATTAATTGTTTTAACTTCTTAACGAGGTGAGTACGGATAACCAGTGCGACCTCGTACATCTAGACCAATGCAAGGCTCAGAGAATGTGGCCTTTCTGGCGCCAACATTTGTGCAGAAATTTAGCGCAGCAAGGGTGACAGACAGGAGAGCTGCTGTCTGTCCCAAGGAAGGGGCCCATGGACTGAGAATGGGACGTCGCAGCGAAAAGATTAAGGGCAGAAAAGACGCCCAGAACGCGCAGAGGACAAAGGTTTTCGCACGCATCGGGAAAATGATCACTATGGCGGCGAAAGCAGGGGGCCCAGATGTTATTGCAAACAAAGCACTAGCGGACGCCATCGACACTGCTAAGGCCGCAAGCTTCCCGAAGGATACAATGGAGAAGGCCATTGCTAGAGCGACGAGTGTCGATCAGGCGGATTTCAAGGAGAGCTCATTCGAAGCGTACGGCCATGGTGGTACAGGGATATACATTGACGTTCTGACTGACAACACTAACCGAGCTTCTGCTGATATTAGAACAGCTCTGAACAAGAGCAAACTAAAAATTGCTTCGCCGGGTAGCGTGGCTTTCAACTTTGACCGTAAAGGCGTGATCCAGGTGATCGCCGGCTCTGTGACTGACGCCGACGAACTGTTGCTTGCGGCTATCGACGCTGGAGCCGAAGAGTGTGAGTTGGATGACAACGATGATTCTGTGTATAGAGTAATCACAGAACCGGCGAACCTAACACCAGCCCGGAAAGCGCTCGAAACGAACGGGTACGCTGTCGACATTGCCCAACTTGAGATGGTCCCGAAGGCCCTTGTCACAGTTTCCGAAGATGACATGGAGAGAAACCTTCATGGCGTCGACATGCTGCAATCGCTTGAAGATGTCGACGGTGTGTACATGAACGCGACCACAGCCTAATAAAACACTATTAAACTTTCTCTGCCTGCATCGTTGGCGCATCTACTGCTCTTATTCTCTCAAGCTTCACCAAATGAATGACTTTTTCTAGCATTCCCCACACGCGCGGCCCATCGTCATGAATTCGAACCTGGTTGAGCTTTCTCAACCCGAGGACCTGACAGATCAGTAGCACCCGACAGCGAGAACCATACAGAAGGGAAGGCGTCAGAATGGTCCATCATCCTCAAAATATATCCAACACCATGAGGAAATAATGTTGCGGTCATTGTACTGTGAACAAACCTGGATGATCTTGCGTTGATTCGGCGGGCGCCCAATGGTGCTGCGGATGAGCTTGACTGCTAACTTCGTGTTATTGAGCTTTACCCAAGCCTGCATCGCGAGAAATTCTTTCTTTCGTGTAAAGGAAGAAGATATCAGGCGAGTTCTTACGGCGATCTGTTGAAGAGCAGCTCTTCACTGATGATCTGTTTGCTTCGAAACGAAAGCCCCCTTGTAACTCTGGTTGGCGAGGACGGAAAGTAAGAGGCTTGTGATCACGTGTACAGTACAATACTTGATATTTTTAACACGGGTACACGTAGTAGAATACGTGTACACTATCATTTACACGTGTACCTGTGTAAATACGGGAAGGTATTGTTCTGTACTGGACAGCACAGTATCCGGTCAAAAGGGTGTTGATTCATTGAAAAATAGGCACACTCACGGCCCTGAGGGCCGTTCCTAACGAAGAGTTCGCGGTGCCAGCACCCGAGCACCCGGACATTTGGCATGAATGGATTGGTTGAACGGGAGTAAAAGCATTTCCAATAATTTTTCAACCAATACATTCATGCCAAGTTTCAGGGTGCTCCGGTGCTGGCACGGCGAACTCTTCGTTAGGAACGGCCCTCAGCCCCACAGCCTCACCCCGAACTACTGTAACCGGTTACTCACAAAAGGAAAGTGTTCTTGCTACGATTGCAGACAGCCCCCCTCTTTTGACTGAATGAGGTACAGTAGTGACCACGCTGTAAGAGCACGCCGTGCCAACCCTTTCATACTGCTCTTAATCCGAGGTTGCTGCTATTCAAGAATCTCGCACAGGATGCCCATTTTACTCCTTAGAACGGTGTAGCATCTCACCGCTAAGCAGTTGCCTGGACCTGTGCACAGAAGCCCTCCCTCGTGGATGTTGTTGCGGAGAGTGAGAAGCGCACGAACACAATTCTCACACTCTGCAACAACATCCCTATCCCTGTTACATTGCAATCATGAGCAATTGTTTCTAGCGGTAGCAATAATGCATTCAGACCAACTGATGTCGGTATAGTGGCGCGTTCTTCCCCAAAATATATTGCTTCGTCACTAACTTCCTCCACAGCCGCGAAGAAATGGAACAGGCGGACTGTGAGCGGGACTTCTAAGAAGCGTTTGAAATACCAGCCGAGAAAAGGCCTGTGTGATTGGAATTACAGCGTTTGATGGTGCTTGAAGTTATGATACCGTTGCCAAGGGAAAATGGCGCTCTTACTGGGTGGTCGTTCTTATTCAAAGTACAGGGTACTCTTATTGTGGCAGAACGGGAACGATGAGGTCAGAGCGTTCCCACCGGTAAGGTCCAAAAGTGGGGTCCAATCCAAATTTTTGCACACTTGGCGAAGTATTAGTGGTGATACAACTGCGGAAGCTGTGATGTAAATTCTGAATCCAACTCGTTGGATTGGACCCGAGAAAATCGGTTACCTACCGCACCCATGCCAAATAAAGCTGCAGATCCAACGCCGTTGTACGAGGTCGGTGGTGAGCAGGGCCTGTTGCAGAATGGCCTCTGCAGGTTCGCTCCTGGACACAATGGCGGATGAGAAGGCGGAGCAAATGGCGATTGCGATCTAGATGCAGATGGTCTCCATTGCGGTAGTAACTGGCGCAGAGGAGACGAAGACGCGGGGCTCAAGGCCAGGGCGCGCAGCAAACCTCGAGCGCACACGCCAGTGAAGGCACCGGCAAATCATGCTAGACTACTTCTGGCCTAGCTCGCTGGTTCGGGATGACGAGTCATGGCAGAAGGGCCCAGTGTAATCCGAGGTGCTTTTTGAGCGAAGGTTCAGGATGCTGCGAGCAGTTTTTAACAGACTGTTTGCGGCAGTGGTTGGGCGTAGTGCGTATTTGCGTTCTGGGATGAAGCTCGATGCGACCGGTAGTCTTGGCGCAAGCCTGCTGCAGAAGGTGGTCGCGGTTCTGAAGCAGCTGGCGTACGGCCCCGGGCGGATAACTGCCATGAGTACTGTCGCATCGATGAGTCGACTGCATTTCGCTCCATGAAGGAGCTGTACGAAGCAGTGGTCAAAGCGTTTGATGCAGAGTGGCTGGGAGCACCGACATTGGCTGAGCTGCTGAGAATCTAAGCTTCTTTTAGTTGTGCAGGCTTTCCTGGGTGCATAGTGTGCTTTGACAGCGCCGGATGGGAGTGGCACATGTGTCCGAAGGCGCTGCAGGGCATTCATATTCGAAAAGAAGGCAAACTTACTCTTCGGCTGGAAGTTATTTGCGATTTTGACCTCCACATCTGGCATGCGATGTATGGGATGCCCGGCATGATGAACGACCTCAATATATTCACACTGAGTACGCATTTTGCTGATCTCCTTGCGGGCCGCTTCCCACCGGTAGAAGCCAAATATGAGGTTCATGGAGAACAGTTCAATTGGCTGTACTATCTTGCCGACGGTATATATCCGAGTTGGAAATTTTTCATCAAGTCGTTAAGCTCGGCCAGCAGCGAAGCAGAGTAGACATTCTCATCGAACCAAGAGGCTGCAAGGAAGTGCGTGGAGCGCGTATTTGGGTTTTATTTAAGAGGTTCTCTATCCTATGCATACCAGGCAGGCTTTGGGCTGCAGATGACATGCGTACAATGCTCATGGCATGTGTTGCTATTCACAACATGATCCTGGATGTGAGAAAGTGTGGTACAACGACCGATCCGCGGTCGGTGTACAGTAGGAGCGGCCGCGCGCAGCGGGCACGGGGCACCGTGGCCCACGTGTAATACGTATGATTACCGAACCGGCGCAGCAAGTGACAGGTGTACGCTTGGGTACACGTGTAGTGTAAGGAACCGTGTGGGGATAATGCGCGCGCAGTGTAATGCAAGCGCGTAGTGTGAGGATCCGTGCGGTAGTGTAATGACGGAGCTAGATTTTCAATCGCGTACAGTACCTGGTCCACAGTAAGTGACAGGTACTGTATTCGACAGGTGTCCCGGGCGTCCCTCTGAGGGGTTAAGACCTGGACACCGTCCTCGCAGTAAACACGGGGGGCAGACTTGCCCCCCTCCCTTTCGCGCCTACGTACTGCCGTTTCGGTATTCTCTCGCGCGTTGGCTTCTAACCCGTTACCGGTCGTCTCCGATCTAGCACCTCGGGACGACTGCGCGTAACCGGCCAGTGTGCCACTCCGTTTTCGCAAGTCCGACTGTTCGGTAACCGCGCGCCGCGCGTCTCGCGTCGCGAGCTCCCTCGGCTCATCCTCCGAGCCTCTCGCCCGCTAGGGTTTGAGAAGAGTTGTACCACAGAAAGCACAACTACAAGAAGGGTGGCGTTGGAGGAACCAGATACGATGGGCCACCGGAGGCCAATGCAGAATTGGTCTCCTTGCACGCAGCTGATGACGGGGACATTGTTAGTAGGCTCAGCCACAGGGCGGACGTGTCTGACGATACGAAGTCGAAATTGAAGCACAAGACGCTCCTGAATGCCCTGGTGAAACATCAGTGGCGCAAGCTTGGCGACGACTAGAGATTTTTGCGCCAGTCGTGGTGCTGCAGTAGATGGATATGCCTATTGTGGTACAACTCCACACCGCGACCCCCGGTGGGAGATGAGAACCCCCGAGACGGGCGGTTACTACTGTAGTAATCGTGCACGCGCCCGCTGCGAGCACAGTAGTACCTCCACGGCGTACACGTGACACAACCGTTGGCGCCGGCCGTGGCCACGGGCACACGTGTGCGACCATCCGGTAAGTAATTAGCAATTAGTGGTTAATGGCACAAATTAGCCAATTTAGTACAGTAGCTGGTATACAGTATGTAACAGCTACTGTAGCGGGACAGGTGTCCTGGCGTCCCACTGAGGGGTTAAGACCAGGGGCACCTGCCCCGTTCCAGTAAACGGGGGCAGACTCGCCTCCCTTCCCTTTACGGCTTTTTGCTAACTCCGTCCGGTTTTACCTCTAAGTCTCAGGCTTCTAACCCGTGACCGGCCGTCCGGATCTGACACCACCGACCGGCTGCGCGTCACCGGCCACGTGAGCCTTCCCTCTTTTCGAGTCCTTCCGTACGGTTCGCGCTCGTGTGGGTTACCCAGCGTCGCGCGCTCCCTTACCTCTAACCCCCCTCGTTCCGAGTGGTCCGGACGAAGGTAGTTATACCACATTTTGGTACTCTTGTGGAGGGGATAACTACAGAGGTTGAGCCCGCACTGGATCGCCAGCGCGAGCAACTACCGATCGGATTGAAAGAGGTCGAAAATCACCGCGTCGATCGCCAGTGATCATCGACGATGAACCGTGCGGATTCCGCCGGAGAAGATACCGCCTCCGGGCGAGCAAGTACCCGCAGTGGCAGAGGCGCACAGCGCCCCCGGATCGACAATCCGGAAGCCCTGCTACGCCCGCCGTCTACCAGGGGCCAGAAGACCCCTTCCGTTTCGGACACCACCGCCGGGCTACCGGCTGGTGGGGGGAACCGCGTACAAGTACTGTACGACGCGTTACTCCCGCGACTACAAACCTGGATGGAGGATTTCCTCGCTGAGGAACTACCTCAGGTCGTCCAGGTTTGCCTCGACCGAACGGCACCAAGACTGGTGGCGGAGCATGCGGACACCGCGCTCCGCGCCCTGCTGGACGAGAAGATCGCCCCCCTCGTACGCGACGAGGTGGTGGCAGCGCTCGCCGCGGAGGAGGACGAATCTCCGACCGCATTGGCTCTAAAGGGAGCTATTAGCTCCGCCGTGGCCACCCGTCTGGCCACGACATTTACCGAAACGGGAGGCGCGGTACCGCCGCCGGCGCCGCGCCGTGAAACCGTTCCGGGCTCAAGCTTTAATATCGCTGATCCGATCGGCGCCGTACCCGGGATTGATAGGATGGACCCTCACCCGGAGGGCAGAGCCATCTATCTCCCAACCGTTCACGGTGCTACAGGGAGGACCACAGAAAATGTCCTCCCCATACTCGCCGGTACGGGCGACCCCCGCGGGACAGACAACCGCCTGGGGCTCCCCGAGACAGAGAATCGGGACCCGTACCGGTTGAGCAGAAGACGTGCACCCGGCACGCACAGGACCGAAGCAGAATACACCCGGTATTCCGACGCAGAAGACCCCCGTCACAGGACGGATGAAGACGGCGAGGAACGCCGCTGGCGATACCGCGATAACCGCGAGGCACGCCACGGGCGATACCGCGATGCCGGAGGGGGAGGATACCCCTCCGATGATGACC